TTTTAAGGTAAAAAAACAAGCTTTAAAAAAAAAGGACTTACAAAACAAATTGTCGAAAAATTCAAATTTTTATTAACAATTTAAATGTTCAAATCGGTTTTTAAAAGTGGCGCCATCTGTGAATCAACTTTTTACCATTTTTATCGTATTCTGCGTCAAATTTTCTATCAAAAACGCTTTGAAAAACGATGGAGAAGTTACATTTACAGTGAGAAAAAAATTAATTAATTTAGCGTGGTAGGTCACATCGACACCTGGGTCACATGTTACGGATAATATTCTTGTTTTTTACCGTTTATCTCTTAAATACAAATAATTGTTTCATTTTTTAAATTAAAAAACACAGTTTATTAGCCAAGAAGATGGGAAAAAGCAGAAAAAATATATAAATAAAAATAAATAAGAAACATTGTTGAAAATGAAATTTTTTTTTTATGAAGATTTCGATAATGCACAGGTAATAAGAACAATATTTGGAATATAATAATAAGTACAATATTAAAAAGTAAAACAATGCTTTTATTTTCTGTTTAAAAATTTTTACAACATCCTTTTTTTCGCAAGATGAAAACCGTTTTGCTTCCAATTGCTGAAAAGAAATCGGATTAATACAATGATATTTTAAAGTTCCTTTTATTGTTAAAACTTCTTGAAAACGTTCGGACAATGGTTTTTCTTCCAATTTGTATTCATTAACTGTCAAATAACAACACGTTATATTCGGCAATGCTTTTGTTCCCCAGTCGAATAACTCTTTTGGTGTTCGGAAAGGGTTATTAACTCTTTGCAGGCTAGCTCTACCTACAAGTCTTTTTAAAGCACCCCCAAGTCCATCATATGGCCCTTTTCCATGTGAAGTCGGAAAAAAGTGCCACTCAGCTGATAATTTAAAATCTTTTTCGTGGTGTGAAAGGTTAATAAAATTTTTCCTATTTTTGTATTGTTCACTGGCACCGTCCAAAAAATATGTTATTTTGTTAAGCCCCTTTAAATTTAATTTTATAAATTGTACTAATTGTTTTTGAAAAATATGGACTGCAATTGTGTCATGTCGTAAACAATCAGAAATACTTACTAAACTTTTTAGCTGCAATTCGTTTTTATCATCTTCGTAATAAATAGAAAATGGTTGTATCGTCACTTGATCGTTATTCCAGTGGATACCTTGTACTGAATTTTGAATTATAAAAGAATAATTCTTAGAAAAATTACAAATGACAGTACATTCATTTTTCAGTAATTTAATTTTTTTTTTTCATTTAAAAAATCTCTCCGTTCATTTACTAAAAATGAATGTGTCAATAATTTGGATAAAACGTTACTTAAGTTTTGTAAAAATTCATCAACAGATAATATTAATGTTTGTAAAGTTGTTCTTTTGGTTGTAATCCACTGTCTGTATGTAATATTTTCAATTATTTTGTCTTGAAAAAATTGTTCGAGTTGATTAATAATATTAGTTATGCCAGGGCATTTATCACTTTCTCCTAAAAACAATTAGTAGATTTACTAGGACAAATCATGCGATATAAACAATTATGGTAATTTTTTATAGGTTGCGGCGAATCAGCAGTGATTGATTTCAAATTTTCTCCGTCAGTTAATAATTTAACATTTTCATGTATTGCACACACATAGACAGAATGAGTACCAGAAGCTCCAGCTAACACGCAATGTTTGGGACGCAAACTAGCAAACTTTGAAAAACTACATTTTATTGTTGTATGTTTAATTTTGAAATGATCATATACTTCTTTTAAGTTATTCAAGATTAATCTTTTTTGCATATGAATTCGCGTTTCACCTTCTTTAACAGAAACGTTATGTTTTTGGCTTAGCATCAGTTGAGTATAACCATCAGACTGATAAAACGTGACTATAGTACTAACAACATTTTCTTCTAAAAATAGATGATATTTAGGGTTTGGATCACTTAAAAAACCTTTTTCTTTAGCAATTGTTTTTGCAACAGATATCATGTGACGAGTTGCTGTTGGAAAATTAATCAATATTTTGTTGTAAGACCAATGTCTGAAAATAGTTAAAATCTTTATTTTGTGAACTCGGTCTTGCGAAGTATTAAAACTTTCTTGTAAAGTTCTTAGAATTGTAATGTCATCATCCTCGTCACTAAGATGATCTGGACCATCGTCTGTCACGTTAAAAACTTTTTTCTTAATTACTTCTGTAATTTTTTAAATTTTCTTCGGAGTACCTTTCTTGCGTCAATTTTTTTTTCAACCGGTAAGGATCCTGAGGCAGTTAATCCTTTATTCAAGTATTAAATACGATCGTTAGGCAACGCTGTATTTTCTCCAGTCACCCCAGAGGAAGATCCTCTTCCACTTTTATTGTCAGATTTTCCACTGCTTTATGCTTCCTTGTTTTCCTGCTATAAATAATATAAAAACTTATTATTTATATTACTTAAAATAGCGAAAGTATAATAATTCCATTAAATTGAAATACAATAAAATGAATTTTAGTAACTTAATTTTAACATTTAATTTAAAATATAATAATTTTCCAAGAAATTAATTGATCGACTTGAAGAAGTAAACGGCATGAAAGAATTAAGGGCATACTACACTGTTTGAAGCTGTACGTAAAAGTTAGATTCCAGTAACAATTTTTAATATTATATGACAGTTACATTCAACATAAATACAATGATACATACCATTTCAACTTGATAATTTCCAATATCATAATTTTTTTCTTCTTTGATACTTTTGATACGCAGACGACACGAATCGCAAATCCTTTGTTGCAGTGTCTCAGAAGTAATTGACAAATTTGAGGTTCGAAGCTAGCTTTCGTTTACTTTTGGGAAATTTGACACACTTTTTTTTGGATGACTAATTTTTTTAAATGGATTAAAACATACATCATTGCGAACGTTTATAGATAATGAATTTTTTAACACTGTTTTAGGCATTGTTGTATGTTTTCATCTACAATTTGCCTTTAATTTCTTGCTGTACTCAAACAACGAAAGGCCACTTTCACTAATGGAGAGACAACAAGATGGTGCAAACTGTTGAAAGCAGTAAAATTCGAAATGTCAGAAAGAAGCTATTAAGAAGCACATGGAGCACTGAATGCGTAAGCGACAAACGGTCACTGCACAGCTGATTCACATAATAATAGTCTACTGATTGTCCCTTCTACTGTCCCTACTCCTTAAAATTGAATCCCTGTCAGTGCTGCCAAAGCTATCCACAGTATTTACCAAAGGCGTGGGAAATTCAAAATCTTTTAGGAATATAAGATAATATTATCATTGCTCAAATTAATATTTGACATTGAAATTTTATACTATATTATTCAAAATATTTTGTCGTTATTCATTTACTTACTTTTTTTTTATGTATTTTTCTATTTTTTTCCATCTTCTTGGCTGATAAAATATGTTTTTTAATTTAAAAAATGAAAAAATTATTTGTATTTAAGAGATAAACGGTGTAAAACAAGAATATGAGCCGTAAAATGTGACCCACGTGTCGATGTGACGTACCTACCGCGCTAAATTAATGAATTTTTTTCTCACAGTAAGTATAACTTCTCCATCGTTTTTATGTAAAAAGTTGATTCATGGGTGGTGCCACATTTAAAAACCGATTTAAACATTTACATTGTTAATAAAAATTTGAATTTTGTGACAATTTGTTTTGTAAGTACTTTCTTCTTAAAGCTTGTCTTTTTACCTTAAAATTAAAAAAAATGCATTTTTCAGCTTAAATAGAACCAGAGTTATGAATTTTTAAAAAATAGGCTATTATCAATAAATCATCAAGTTCACCAATTTTTGATCTTGTTTATTTTTCAAAATATCGAAAAAAAAAAAATCCTTTTACACTTATCTTTTTTTTTTCTCGATATAGAACCCGTAAAAAAAGGTTCAGTTAAATCTAAAATGTGTCTGTCAATTTTTTTCCAAATCTGTTCGGTTTGTAAAAGAACGTCCCAGGAGAAAAGGTTGTCAACTGTCTCAGCTACTGTGTGTAGGAAATTGGAGGTCCCAATCCCGTTTGAAATTTTTTTTTTTTTTTTTTTGGAATTGCTGAAGTAAAAGAAATAAGATTCAATGAAAATCAAAATGTGTGCTGTAGTGGCCTGGTATCGTGCGTTGTGGAGAGGATAAGGCGTTGGATGGTAGGGCGAGGGGGGAGTAACATGCAAATCCACTTCCGTCACTTCTTTTCTTGAAGTTCGGAAATCTGAATCAATTTACTTTCGTGCATAACGCGCCTATATAAGTATAAATATGTTATTTATAAGGTTAGTTAAAATCGTTATAACGTACAATATTTATTTTTCAAAGGTTTTCTATATAAAATATTACAATACCAAGACTAAGATATACATGAAAGAAATATTTCTTTGAATTTTCCTTCATGATGGTCGCAAATAGCCCTACAGACAGGGCAACGGTATGTTATTAACCTCAGCTGTTGTCAAATTAAAACTGCAAGCACTTATACTGTTTCTTTTTTACATTTGTACTCATAGCCCCTAGCTCTTTTATAAATTTAATTTTCTTCTTGGTTTAACGAAATTGTGATTTGAAATGAATTAATTCCATTAATTTATTGTTTTCTTACATATACATGATTCATCCAAGTTTCTACTATACGATTTTATCGTATAGAAAGCTTTCATAAGTAGTATACTTAAAGTAAGTTGGTAGTTAAGTATGATAAGCTCAGCTTGATATTGCAAGCGATTTTTTCTAAAATTATCAATTCCCGTTGGCCCCCGCCTAATATACCATTTGGTGACTTACTTTTACTTACCCATGAGGAAAACGCGAAATAAAACTTATTCACACGCTGAGATTGTCTCAGTTTTGTCTCATAGTCATGTTTAGCATTCATAAAATATTTTTTTCTATTGTTCTTTTTAGTACACTAATAGAAAAATCAAGTGTTTATTCACCGTAGGTCTGATTTGGTGGTATTAATTGATAGGCTATATTAATAAAACTTCTGAATATGTACCTTATCTAAAGTTTCCAAGGATTTGGGATCGATACGGTGAATAATTGGATATTCTGTAAAAGTGTAATACTCGTCATTAAACGGATACACAGATATCATGGTATTGTCGGATGCATCTGCAGATCGAAAAATAGATGATATTCTGAAATTAGTATTAATAAATTGTAAAAGAAATTGGATGATACAAACAACTCTCGTAAAAATAGACTTACTTTGAAAAGATACTTTGACAAGGGTCTGGCACTCGTCTAGTGCCGAACTCAGTTACTACAATTCTTTTGGCTGCATGGTTTTTCTTATAAACATCAGTTTGAATAAAGCGGTTTTGATACGTAATTTTTCCATTGTTAATCTCATACCTATAAAAAAAAAAAATATTCAAATAGTTCATAACATAAGTTTCTATTATTATCAGAAAAATTTAGCTATTGTCATATCGATAGTGGTGTTCGTCATTTTTGTGCAACTTCTTAAGGGCTTTCACTGGGCCTTAAGGCGCTTACGAAGCAACACTCAAGATAGTTTTGTAATCCACCTAGGTGAACGCTATTTTTCCTACTAAAAGCGCAGTATAAATATACAAAAAAATTTTTAAGATAGGAAAAATTTTACTTTTAAGTCCTAGCTAATGAACATAGTCGAGTAAACAACTTAATTAGAAAGTGTTCAAAAAAATTTATTTTTAGTATTTATTAACAAACGTTATAAATTAGTTCTTTAATGAACTATAACAGCAATTAGTTCGAGGAATCAGTGAACGATATTTTGTTGTGATTCAACTCTGTACTAAGACAAGAAAATTATAAAAATTATTGTGCATGATTGGTAATCTGTTACTGTTCAGTCGTCTAGGATTTTTACTATTTAGAACAATATTTTTCATCGTCAATAAAGTGATTTTTACAGTTTGGACGACAGAAATGAGTAAAAATTAGGCTGCCAAAAGTAAAAAGTCCCTGGATGGCAAAACGACTCCACATTACCATTATGTAGCACATTGTTTTTATTCTTTTTTTCTCTTAGTGTGCCTACCCATGTTAAAATCACTTACCCGATTGAATCCGTGAAAAAGTATTATGTCCTGATTATAGCTTTTTTTATTAATCAACTTAGTTATGTATTGATTAAAGACTCTAATTTTTATCACATACATACATACATTTCTAAGTAATCGGAATAAAAAAATTTTACAACACCAGTGTATTAAACGCACTTCGTACAATTGGTTGTAAGGACATTTTTTCATCATGCAACTTTCATACCCTACGACACAAAAGCTGGAGGAATTTGTTTACATTTTTATACTTAATCAATCATTACAAATGAGAAAAACCTTGGAAATTTTTAATAGTGATTCGTTCAAACGAAGAACAACAAAAATAATGAAATCGATAATTTGGAAAGTCTTGTAACAAACGTAATAAAAATACTGTGATAAATTTTTTTTTTTTTTGACAGAATCCAATGAATCCATGGTAAAATAATAATTGTATTACTTATCGATAACTTTTATAAATTGAATACTTGCCCATCTATATTTTTTAGAATGTAAGATTAAAACTAGAAAAATTAGAACTTATCAAGCCATTCTATTTTATGAGTCTTATTTTATTATATTGATATCTTACCTATGAAGTAAAGCGGAACTATCAAATAGATGTTCAAACTTATAGGAACCCACTTCCAAGCTCCCCGGACCGTTTCGCAGTAAAGTACCATTTAACCAATTTGGTATGTGTCCAGTTATTATTCCAGTAAGTGGTTCGATTACTTCTTTCTCACACGTTCGTGACCATATTGTAGTGTCAAGATTTGGATAAAAATAACTAATTTCTTCTTTTCTTTGGTCATCATCAATTTTGGTGTTGTGACTGTCGTTTTTTGTATCTTTATTTTTGTTTCTGTTGTTTAGGATTATTGACTTTTTAAGAACATCTTTCTGTAACAAAATGACAAAATACGAATAAATAACTTCTTTCAACACTGGAAATTCCATTCTCTTTATTTTCACCTACTTGAAAGACAGGTGATGTACAAGGCATCAAAGTTGGAGCAGTTTTGTCTAGCAAATCTTCAATAACTTTTAATTTTGACGTGTCAAATCTATTACAAGACAGACAACAATTAAGAGAACGCATATTTCTTGTTAATCGTTAAGATATTGTATCGAATGTTATCAAAAGCTGCGATCACCTAAAAATTATTTGCACATTTCAACTGCAGAACATCAGTCACTTTTTATCTAAGAAATTGGTGGCTTAATCCTAATTTACCACTATTATAACACAGTATAATTACACATAATTCCATCGACAGATACCAGAGAACAAATTATTACCAGTTGTATTGTCTTCATTGGCCTCAAAATCTTTATCATCCATCTGCAAAATCAAAATAAGAATGTGTTGTACGCCTTTGTAGATGAAATCCATCGGTCTCCCCTCACCTTTACATCTTGAATGTCGCTTAGATGAGTGACTGTTGACCACAAAAAAAAGATTATTTGAAGCTCCTTAATCTCACCAACGTACTATGGAAGCCTAACAACTTACATGGGCACGTAGAACTTGTCTGGGCTTCGCGCTTACCATTGACTTGTTACTAGTCCGGTATCTGAGGCTCAAAAAATTTGTTTCCCCAGAAAAAATTATAAAAATCTTAAGAAATGTATTTTTGTGCAAAATTTCTTTATGAATTTTAAAAAAATAATTAGAATTCATACAAATATTGGCCTTATTTCATACAATAATTTATTTGAAAAGTACAATTTTTTCATCGTTGATTGCATTTCTCTCTGATCTTAGAAGCCTTAGAATATTCAAAAACAGCTCATTTTATTCGCCCTGAAATTACCTACAAGATGTCACATTTTTCATACATGACATAAATTATTTAAAACAATAGAAATGCCCTTATATATAAAAAAAAAATTTTTACTCAAAGCCTCCAACATCACTTCATAAATAGTCTACATTTTAATAATGTAGTATATAATTCCAAAATGTTAGTGCTAACACGTTTAAAACAAAAATATTTCAGCTGATAATAGTTTAAATTAGGTGCTTTAAAGGGATTTGAAATTGCAATAGATAAGCATGAATTTAAAAAGAAAAATCTCGCCACTCTAGGTTCATTCGGAGTCAAGCCATGCAAAATTTACGTTTTTTTTTAATTACAGGCTATTTTGCAATTGTTTTGACTTAAAACTTCAACAGGATATAATTAATTACGCTCTTTGACCAATAAAAAAATTATACTATTTTATTTATGGTTTGAGAAGTGGCAGAAATAAATATAAAATTTTTAAAACTTACGATCCTGAACTGCAAGTTCGGAAGTTACGCGGCTTGTCCACGATATTCATTTACTCTTGCTGTAGCTATGTAGTCGGATAGGATTAGCTAAAGATGGCCTAAGAATGTTAAAAACTGCAAACTTTGATTCCGAAAATTTTTTGGTAGATAACAATAAAACAAATAATGTATTAAGTTTGAAAGCCCATCAGAATACCGTTCGACGGTAAAAAAATGTCAAAAAAGTAAGAAAAGCTTTTTTGTGGTTACCAGGAAAACTCAGCCATTAACAAAAAAGTATCTGGTAGTTGAAAATGTGCAATGGAAGAGCCAATCAAATAAATTTTGGTGATCTCGAAGCAACCTAGGAGTTTTTTTTCGAATCGCAAAAAACTACATTTCTGACCATTTTCTCAAAAATTTTTAACTTGAGTTCTATTGAGTATTCAACTTAAAAGTTAAACAGGATACATGTTTTCTAAACTTTAATATTATATAGTAAATTTTGTCAAGATCGATGGGAGATTTTTTGAAAAACTCTGAACTGACTAAAAAAAAGCCCTTCGCTGAAATGTTCATAAAACTGTTTCGGGCCCAACAAATAAAAATTTTGCAAAGGCGCTTTTATATATCAGAAGATGCTCTACACCATTCGGAATTGCTATATCATTGAATTAACTAAAAAAATGCAAAAAAAATTGGTGCAAAAAAAATATTCCAAAGTCCAGTGGTAGGAAGCTGCTGGGCTTGGAAATACAGTATTCCACACATGCTGACTTAAAATTTGTTTCAATTTTTTTTTATTTTGTATAAAAAATTCCAATGATCTAAGTACTACATAATACAGCTGCATTATCATATGTAAATATGATATAATGTTATGTTACCATCTAGTTCTTAGATCATTGCAATTTTTGTTATACAAAAAAAAAAAAAAAAAAAAAAAAAAAAAAAAAAAACTAAAAGACATTTAAAGTCAGCTTGAGTAGAATGTTGCCTATACCCACATTTCAAGCTTAACAGTTTCCCACCACTAAACTTTGAAAGCTTTTATTTTAATCAATTTTTTTATACTTTCAGTGGATTAAATGATATGGCATTTGAGGTTGGTGTAGAGCAACTCCTGATAAACAAAAGCATTTTTATAAAATTTGTCTACATCATAGGACCCAAAACTTTTTTACATCTATTTTTTTGAATTACCTTTTTTTAGTTTGTTCGAAGTTTTCTCAAAAAATTTTAAACCAATTTTAATTAAATTGAGTAAATGCGTTCAAACTTAACTTTTTATTTATATAATTATTATATACCAAAAAAAAGTTCAAAATCTAAGTTTGCAGTTTATAAAGTTTTAGGCCATGCATCAGCTTATTCTGTCCAACTACGAAGCTAAAGCAGCAGTAAATAAGAAGCGCAGAAAAGCCGGGTATCTTGCGTATTTACAGTTCAAAATCATAAGTTTCCTTAAAAAATTTTTTAAACCATGAACAGTTTTTTTTTTTTTTTCAAACGCGTTTGCACTCACATATTGATATATTTTGCATTAATAAAATGGAGACTATTGATGAAGTCTTACCAAAGCCATAGTTACCCGAATCAATTTTAAGTTTAAAAATTTATTTTAAAAAAATAGTAATTTATATTTTCTAGTGCATGAAATGCTTTTTATTAAGAACGTAAATTACTAAGTATAATTTTCTGTAGTTTTGTTGATATTAATCACAATTATTTGTTTCTACAGTAGTTTTAATTTTTAGTCACAAAATCAAATTTCAAATATTTTTGAAATTTTATTGTTGTTCACAATTTATAACGCAAATTAAAATTATGACACCTTGTAGGTAATGTTGTGAAAAACAAATTGAATTAAGACTTCTAGAAGTAAAAATAATTGCGAAAAAATCGAAGAGTTGATTGCACTTTCTGATACATATTGTTAAAAAAATAAATGAAGCCAAAGTAGGTGTTATTTAAAACAATTTTTTTTCAATTCCTGTAAAAATTTTCTCATGCATAAATTTCTCCGATTTTTTAACTTTTTCCAGCTCAATTATGCTCCTCCTACCAGTCTAGACTCACTGTCAATGATACCTGTGGTTTCTAAAAAAAATGACAATCCATGTATTTTCTCTGGTGTTTATTTCATAATTTCGATTTTCTTCGTCATGTAGTTATCTTACCTAGGTACCTAGAATTTAAACTAGAATTCACCCACTTTTTTCTCATTTATAAAAAAAGGTAAGCTAAATTTTTTTTCGTCATATGCTATTGTAAAAAAATGAGGAACTATGAGAAATTATAACTCTGAATGAAATTTGATACTGAAATATAATTTTACTGAAAGACTTCACTCACTGCAAGCTATGCGCATCAATTATCACCTTTCACTTCAAGAAAATATACTTGTTATCATAACTTACTAAGAAAAGTTAAATACTAAGGTTTTTCAGAACAAACAATCCTCAACTTAAACTTTATTTAACCATGAAATTTTTATTAATCCGTTTCTACTTTTCTAAATTCTATTTTTAAATTCATCTACTTTAAACAATCATTGTGTTCAGTCCAAGCTTATAAAATCTTACAATTGTATTAAAAAAAAAACAGTTTGTTGGGAAATTTAGAAAAAATATTAAGCCAACTGTATCTTAATTCTAATAGAAGTTTAATAAAAAATTATAATGTGTCATAAGCTACAGTAATTTGCAATAATTTTAATAGTATCGTTTTTACGGTATTTTGCTACTGACAAAACTATTTGCAAGCAGCTCTGCTAAGGTATTTTGCCTTTCAACCGCTAGAGGCTGAATGAAGACGTTTCTAACATGTCTGTACATTTAGGGAGTGACTCCTGCAATTAACTTTATGTAGTTAAAATTGTAGTCTTGCATGAAGCATGCAAATATTGGAATTTATTTGATATTTTTCCAGATGAATGGAGATAGAGTATCATAAACATAAATGAAGACAAATACTTTCAACGTCATTTGAACAAGAACGGACAAAGTCGTCGGAGAAGCTAGCCTTAAGTAACGGGGCTCCTTAAAATGACCCATCATGATTCTTGCGTACTTAAGGTGGCTCCTCACTAAATCAAAACACTGGAGTATTGAATGATATTTTAAAGGATGATTCTTGAAGGTGCAAGGAGTCTTTCCCCAAAATTTTAGACCTCGTCACCACAAAAATTGTTGAAAAAAAACTAACTGTAAAATAGACTCTGTAACATAGCCTCTTATGGAGGGTCGTCAAATTGGTGGTGCAGGTTGTATGATATCTCAGCAAAGATACTGTAGTTCTTAATAGAAAACTATGTAGCAGATAGAAGAAATCAGAATCTTTCCAACGACATTCAGGTACTTGGACATCACCATAGGTTTTATAGGATATTTTGTGAAAATAGTAGATAACTGTGCAAGTCACGGAACAGATAAAAAGTGTGGGGCGTCTGCTACACCGAAGAGCAGTAGCCCGCGTAGTTTGAATTGGTCAGAAAGTTGTACGTAAAATAAATAGGAGTTGTGGGGAATCGTAATTATAATAAAAATAAATGAGACGCTGAACTAATAAAATAATTTAATGCGGGGCTGACTTATGTACTTTTTGTATACATACATCTGCTCAGGTCACTGTATTGTACGATATAGGTCAACGGTGTAGATGTCACTAAACTTTTTTTGAAGGGACTATAAGTACCTATCCATTTTGAGTTAAGAACCTCCACAGCCAATGAAAAGCTGTGTTGTAGTATGCTTACTCTTCTTGTGGGATTTATAGTGAGGAGCCACCTTAAGGAGATTCGGTCATTTTTTCGGGGAAGGGGAGGGAGTGAGTGGGTATGTGGAGGCTCCCGTAAGACAATGTGTTGAAGTGAGTTGTACTAACCGTTCATAGAAACGTCCGCTCAGTGGCGCTCACTGCATCACGGTTAATTTAACTGAGTTCAACTCGTCAGTGCTCAAAAGTTAAACCATTAAATGTTATGAAAAAAAAAAAAATACTTTAAAGTAGCTAGTTTCCGATAGTTCATGTAAAAAATTTGAAAACATGTTGTTTGCATGTTATAAATCAACCTTAAAAAAGTAGAAAAAGACTCAGTTTTCGTCTTTTTTTGCACAGCATTATAGTTTGAAGTTTTAAGAAAGGCT